AAACGAACATCTACAGTATCTACTGCAATTTGTAAAGGCGCAAAAGCTTCGTTGTACTGCTCAGCAGCGCTACCACTCCGCGATTTCCATAGACGTATCTCTTCCTGTACGGAAGTTACTCCACCTGCAACATTTATTGAAAAGATATCATCCAAGAATTTACGAGACATATGCAGACCTTCGCCGCTGTTTTTTCCTTCATCTACCACAGCCAGAAGATTTTCTTCTAGTTCACTGACAAGTGATAAAAGGTGTTTATTCGCTGGGGCTTGAGATGACTCCGAGATATTTTTGCTGAATACCTGCAAGAGGAAAGTGCTCTATTCTTGATACATCACAACCTGGAGACTAAGCATTGGAGAGAAACGAAAAGTAGAAAAGCAAACCATTTGCAAGCACGTAGTAAACTGACATTTTGTACGCTTTTCAAGAACACTTCGTTTGATCCTCCGTTCATAGACATAATATTCACAATTGTTTTGTAATTGTCAGTGGTGAGAGGGCTTGGTCGTGCCTTATAAAATACAACTTTTGGTAACGTCCCCTGCTTGACATCATTCGAGAGTTCGATTCCTCTCTAAACATTCAATTTGAGTTTTAGTACGAACAAGTTAAAAAATCATAGGATGACCTGTTCAGTAAGAGCTACGCTTAGAACTGTACTATTTGTGTCACAAAAAGTTTCCAATGGTTGCAGATGTCGCAGCTTCTCCTCGACAATGTTTAGACCAAGAATGTGACTTGCGACACGCAGCAGGTAAGTTTTTCTTACATCTTTTCCATCTTCCTTCGCCATTCCTTTAACTGATCACTGGAAAAAGATTTATTTTGATTAAAGAAATGCACAACGTTGATTCAGAGAAATTGAAAGTAAGTAAATTTAGGAATAATAATTCTGAAAAATGATAATCTCGTAAGCGGATTGGTAAAATTAATTTTCGAAGAGGAAGAATGCAATTTCGCTTCCGTAATTTTGTTGAAGTCTTGAAACTTTAAACGATAAACCTCTTCTCGGGTGACTGGAGCAACGTGAAGAAGTTGTGGAGCAAAGATTGTGTTCATTAACTCCCATGCTTAGCTGCGAATAATGTGATCAACGAATTGGGAATTCATCAGTAAACCTATGCATTTTTGTGGTGTTGTAAAGCAAATCAAATGATAGGTGAATTTTTGAAATCACGTCTGA